ATAAAATAAATACAATTGGTGTTTTCTCTACCTATAGTCAGGAATAAAAACCTGCCCTACACCTTTAACACATATGGGTCAAGCATATTTTTATAAGGAGATCCCATTAAATATTAATTAGTGACATTTCCACCACAGGAGGGACAATTACACATACGTACATTACTCCTTTTACTGAAACATGGAGAATTTAAGCTTTTAATATATAAAATGTGAAACATTGAGATGTATTAAGGCAAATATAAACATCGGTAATATAATATTCAACCCTTTAATGACAAATATGATATCAGCAAGATATTGGTGGAAGACATGAGACAGAACCATTTGTAATTAATGTACCAGAAGTAGTGGATATGAGACGAATGTAGGCATAAAACTGATTTAAAAAGAGCAGCACATAGAGATCAGCATGGGATAGAATAATGTTTGTAAAAAAAGACACGTGATAAGAGTGAAGGCAAAAGCATTTGTTATGGTTTGATGAATGAAAGAAAACTTTTTTTCCCCGGCAAAGTGCACTCATCTGACAAATTAATGTTTAATAATTGTGATTTGTTTCAGCAGCAAAGAAATAGAAACTATCATGGAAAGACAAATTAAGTTTGCAATTAGAGAATAGTAAAAGGAAATACATATTATGCATTTACATATAAACCATAAAAATGCCTAGATATTTTGATTTAAACATTCAAACAATACCAGTTTCAATGGAAATTAAAGAGCATAAAACATTTTATTTACTTAAAATAAAATTAAAGGGACAAACTAAGTACAATAATCACAGCTGTACAACATTAGATCCTATACACGTTAATTTTAAGGCATGTGCATTTATGGAGTGTAGTTATATAAGTACCCATAAGCACTTTTAAGCTCTGTTTAGATTCTAATGATGGAGCCTGCACTGCCCCTTCATAGTCATGTGACGGGAAAAAACTGAATGAAGCCAATAAAATTATTAGCTGCAATTTACATAGCAGTGATCTATCTGTCTGTCTGTCTGTCTATCTAGAATTTTTTATACACCTGTCATCTTTTCGAAGTTGGCAACCCATGTTTATAAAACATGGTGTGCTAACTTCATACAGGTTACTTGCCTGTATGTTTTATTTGTCCAAATTCCCCCAAAAATAAACCTTGTATAAGGGTCTATCTGTCTGTTCGTCTGTGTCTGTCTGTCTTTCTGTCTATTTTTTGAGTGCTGAAAAATATATCTTACACGGCCCTGCAGAACAATATGCTCAGTGTTTCCATGAAGGTGGGATTGGTGGAAATATCTCATTAACTTCTTGGCTCAAAATGAAATTATACATTTAGCACAAATGAGTGAAATTGAGAGGTTAGTAACTGCTTTTTGGTTTTTTTTTGCACCTTGTTATTACATTATTTACATTATATATAAAAGTAGGGTCAGCTTCTGAGTGGAGTTTCCCTGTATACAGCAATTTCTAAACAAAGCTGCACAATAACTTATTAAGCTTTCTTTGCAACCTTGGGTAACTTGCCATTCAGACCACTAACATAAAAGACAGAGTCTGAGATAAAATACTCTAAAATGCCCAACAAATCTAAAAGATGAGACAGTTGATCAGCCAACCATTTTTTGTGGAACTTTTGTTTACATTTTGAAAAAAATATGGCTTTTTGCAAATGGGACTGGGCATCCCTTGGAACTACTATTCGTGTAGTTGTGTCCAGTGGACCTTATATAAAATTTTATTTTTAATCTAGTTCTTACAGACCCAGCATGTGATATTTTTAACATGTTCAATAAAACTGCTCTCAAATGTGGCATTGAAAGAGTTAGTATGAGTGGCACTGCTTGCCTAGTAAGCTAAAATGCCATTTTCCACCAATTGCATTGCAGTTTCTGGAATATCAGTCTACAGCATTGCAGTTGTTATAGTTACTAAATTCTTGGTGTCAAAAAACTGTCAGACTCTAGTACACTGACGCAAAGGCACGGACATTTCAACACCATCTTGTAATGTTATTTGCACTTTGTGATGCTCGTGCCACTTTCAGCAGATTTGTAAATTACATTTCATTACATTTTCAATCTTTTTCATGATAATCTTGGACAATATTCTCATTTCTTCCTCTGACCTGCAAGAACAACAAAGACATAATTCTATTCTACAAACAATGACATATTAATGCCTAGACAGTAGAATTGAGAGAGCAAAATGATTCAGTTTTTTTCTTCCCAACTTCTTCAAGCAGCTGCCTCCTTAATTAATTAAAGGGACACTGTAGGCACCCAGACCACTTCAGCTCATTGAAGTGGTCTGGGTGCTGTGTCCCTTTTGCACCAAGTGCTGCAATGTTAAACATTGCAGTTACATTGCATTTAAAGTTGAATAAAGTGGATATAACATCCAATTTATTAAAAATAAAATCAAAAACAGGCAAAATCACAACACATGTTCAATATTGCAAATATACAAAAGCCAAGATTGGACAAGAGCCCTTACGTATAGCAGCTTTGAAAAAACATAATACTAGGATTATAATAAAAGTGCATGTGCTAAAGTGCCAAAGTTATAGTCAGAAGGAAAGTGCAAAGTGCTTGTCAGACCAGCTATTCTCTTCCACTAATCTTTCACAGACTGCAGAAACGCACAATACACAAAAATACTAAAAAATACACAGTATACATATAAAAAAGACTGCACATACGCACACCTTCACATACATATATAGAGTCACACTGTCACATAAACCGCAATGATTTCTGACGTTTTTTTGTAGAACGTTCATAATGCGGCTGTGTAAATGACACATAAAGTTATTCTGCGTTCCAGCGTAGTTGCGCATGCACATAACGTTTGCACGCACACATATCGCTTGTGCGTGCAAACGATATGTGCATGCACAACTACGCTGGAACTTGGAATAACGTTATGTGTCATTTACACAGCCGCATTATGAACGTTCTGATACCGGAGAAACTGACGGAAGCAAAGCACAGAGGGATGGACACAGGTTTCTTCAGGAAGGAAGAGATTCTTTATTGGATCACCGATCGGGACTCAGAGGGACTAATGTCACCAAAAATACAGCAAGTTCTGAGCCCTGAACAATAGTGCAGGCTTCCTATATAAGCACATAACTCCTCCCATATTAAGCTCCACCCGCACATTCTCTTGACCAATCATTACAAATAAGAATTAACTTCCTGCTTGACCGCATGGCTTGTCCAGCACAATGGAGGAGGAGAATACTACATCCTGTATTCTTGCACATGCTCCGTACACTACTGATCGTATCTTGCCTCGTGCAACCAACTGATCGATACGTCAGCATATGCACGTACACATTCCACGTGGTAATCTCGGCCTACTAAATTTATTTTTACCGAGATTCCACCACATTCCCCCCTTTGATGCCTCTTGATATTTTACAATTACTTGAGGCATCACTTAACCTTGTTTTGCATACACCACAAGTTACCTTTGAACCAGACCAGACTTATCCTACGATGTGAATCTTCAACACTCGTCTTCCTGCATTGGTTCTCCCTGATCTAGAGCCTTATATTTATAAAGTGCCATTATCTGTGCAGCAGCCTTCCTCTCTGCTATATTTTCTATCAGGCTTTGCACAGACCTAACTACTAAGGGTATAAGACACGGCAGGAGTAGACACAACATTAAAATCAGTAGGACTCCACCTATCACTGCCTTAAGCCCTCAAAACCACTCATACCAGCTACCAAACCAACTACTTGGATTGTCTTTCCATACCTGAGTAGGCACATGCGCTAGTTTAACCATATGGCTAGTAAGCTCAGCTATTGCTTGCCCTTCGTCATCTATTTGAAGACAGCAATTGCTCAGGTTAAACTTTCCACATACACCTCCCTCTACTGCCAAAAGATAATCCAAGGCTAATCTATTTTGGTAAACTGCTGTCCTCATCCTGGTATTATGCTTCGCTAGAAGATTGTGCGCTTGTGATGTCTCGTTAGTAATGATCTCAACCACCGCCTGTAACCTTATAATGCGGTTGAGCATATAAATAGGGGTTCTATAACCAAAGGTACCATCCTCTGCCCACGTGGCTGGCCCATAATAATCTATAATACGCTGGGGAGGCCATTCATTATCTTCCCAGGTACCTATCTCTATGGGTCCCCTTTTCTTCCTATGATTCACATCATACACTTTAACACCTAAAGTCTCACCTGTTTCAATAGGCAACAAGAAGGATGGTTTTAACATACCCAACACACATGCCCCTTCCCAGTCCTGTGGTAACTCCGAATAGGCCTTCTTACCACAGATCCAGTACAAATTCGCTGGGGCTCTCCAGTTAGATGTGATGGATAGATCAAACCATACGTCCTTTAAATTGGCATATCTTGCAAGCGGGTTAGATGGTTCTGAGACATTTGAAGCCGACCACCAAGTTGTATTCTTTGTATCATCATCATAAGCTTTTTGCCCTAGACAAGTTAATTCTCCTACAGAAGTATTATACATCATTCCTTTCCTCGCTATGCAAACATAACCTATGATGGAGGTCTTCGATCTCCACTCAGATTTACCTCTAACACTCATATGATAGTCGGCTTGTGTAGATATTAATTGGTCAACTGCCTCAGAACCGGACATTACCTCCTTTGCTTCCCAAGGCCATTGGTCTCCCATGTTAGTACCTCCACACACATAGCAGTTGGTAACATTAGGACTACCGGCAATACTCTCGGCTAAATCAATGAACAAGTTTTTAGCATTATGGGGGATCTTATTATCTATGCTCATCTCTTCATAAAAGGAATGGTATACTTGTTGAGTTTGGGAGGTTACCGTATCAGACTCTATCCCTATAAACAATATTGTCCCAGGGTCTAAACCCGTCCCATATATTTAAAACCCAAATAAATTACCATATTTATCTAAGAACTTGTCAGGGTTATTTATAAGTATATGGATTGGATTGCATTCCATAGACTTACAATATGGATTAGTAGGCAACTTAGTCACAATCATGTCCTTGTCTGCTGTCTGTCCCCAAGTCGCCCACCCCATACAAGACCAATATGGGCAGAAGTTATAATCTCTATTTGGGCATCTTGGACTTACATATTTATTTTTACTACTGGGACAAATATATTTATCGTTAGACCCATGCGTCCTCTCCCATCTAAGATCCCCACATACATTCCACGGCTTTCTACCACTTGATATTGCTTTACACGCATCAAATAGCAGAGCACCTGAAGAATATACGGATTCTAATACCATCTTATTAATTAGGGTCCCCTGAGGATCTCCATTTCTGAGAGTCAACCAAATTGTACGGGGTTGATACTCAGGACTGAAGCACTTAGGTTCTCCTACTCCTAAATGACACACACTATATTCTATATTTAAGTATCTGCATCTTGATACATCTCCTTTACACTCATATTGCGAATGCCAAATTAGGGTCTGGGATATATGGTTACCTGTTCTTGTAGTCTTAATGCATACCTCACAGCTAGGGGTGTCGGTACCTCTACCTTCCTGAATATAAAAATACACATAAATAAACATTATTAAAAATACATCTTTCGTCGTCATCCTCAGTCTTCGTCCGTGCGAAGGCACCTCAGCTTCCAGGATGTAAGGGCTGCAGGGAATGGGGTTCTGCTCGTCTTCACAGGGGTCCCCTCAAGACTTTCCCTGACTTATACACTCGTTGGTGAGTGGACAGGCTTTATTATGGCCTTCTCACTCACTTACCAAGTCTCTGAAACAATAAAATTTGTAATCTACAAGGTTCCTCGTCACTCCGACTGAGTCGTGCGTTTTAACCGGATCTTGCAGGGATTCTCTGGATTTGCTGTAACTTTCCAGGAATCGGCTGCTGCTGGTTTAACCCTGGAGTGATGTATCCACGGAGCCACTTCGGCTACTTTTATCGCTGTAGGGGTAGACAGAAGAACAACATAAGGACCTCTCCACTTGGGCCCTAACGGCACATTATTCCACTCTTTAATCCACACTTGGTCGCCTGGGTGGTAACTATGAATTGGGGATAAATATTCACAGGTAATCTATCTTGTACCCATTTCTGTACCTCCTCCATAGTCTTACCCAACTCTACAACCTGCTGCCGGGTAATTCCTTCTCCCAACTGACTCAAATCCCCCCTTAAGTTACCAAGCACGGGAGGTGGTCGCCCGTGCATGATTTCAAAAGGAGAGAGGCCCATCCTTCTGGTAGGTGTACTACGGATTCGCAATAGAGCTATGGGCAAGAGAACGTTCCACTTAAGTTGGGTTTTCAGACACATTTTAGCCAAC